TCTTCTCACATGGTCAACTCTACGTTGGACGTTCAAGAGTGGGGAACAATAAGGGCCTATTTATCCTTGCCAGTAATGGAAAAACAAAAAACGTCACTCATAAAGGAAGCCCTGATTTAAAACAGGTTCGTATTATATTTTCAAAAATCAAACATAAGGTTGTTTTTTTTAATAAATTTACAAACTATTTTTTTACCTATCAAAATATGGAACTGGGAAAGAGAGAGAGAGAGAGTAGGTTTATTTTTCGGAAACCCGGGTAACGTTGCTAGTACATAATACATTTCAAGTTTAAATAACAAGTACAGACAAAAATTTTCTGTTAATAAATAGTATACAGACAGACACACACACATATTAGATGCAAAAGCAAATATTATATCAACAATATGAAAAAATTCAACACCTATCAACAATAACATGTAACAAAGTTCCACATTTCAATTGAGTTTTCTACGGACTTCTTACATTATTCTATTTGGTTTAAAGATGATATTTCAGGTTCCATGGAATCCATAACATTATATTGAAACAAACAAAAACACCAAGAGAAATCTCCATATAGAACACACTGTATAAATCCTTTAAAACAAATTTTGCAATATTCATCCATGAACATTTTGGCTAAGTGTAACTTTAATAATGTAATTACAGCTGAATAGATTATTTTTAGTAAATAATTGGCCCAGACAAAGTCATGTAACAATCCATGTTAGAATACACTGTAGAAATACAAAAATTAACAATATCAAAGTTAAAAAAATTCTAATTACATGAAACTTGCTCTATTCATTAAAACAATGTAAGTTTGAAAGATAATCAAAGTATTACATAAAAGCTTTGATACAGTTACTTTCTGACCAACAGTGCATGAAGAAGAGAATTAATATAAAAATCCTCTTGAAAATTACTGTATGACTAATTACAGGAAAAGAATTATTCACCAGTGCAAAACAAATTATTACATCTTCTACATGATACAAGCAATGAAGGATTCTGCTTTACAATTAGCAGTTTTAAGTTAGACATCATCACCATGATATTGATTTAATAAAATTATCTAAAATTTATTCTATAAACCTAAATGCTTTGTAGAAAAAAGGAAGAAAAAATTCAGGCTCAAAATTACAAGGACTGTCAATAAAATCAAAAAAAGACTTGTACTACCCAAAAGTTTGTTTGTTTGTTTTGAATTTTGCGCAAAGCTACACGAGGGCTATCTGCGCTAGCCATTCTTAATTTAGCAGTGTAAGACTAGTGGGAAGGCAGCTGGTCATCACCACCTACTGACAACGCTTGGGCTACTCTTTTACTAATGAATAGTGGGATTGACCATCACTTTATAACACCCCCACGGCTGAAAGGGTGAGCATGTTTAGTGTGATGGGGATTTGAACTCGCGACTCTCAGATTGCGAGTCGAGTGTCCTAATCACCTAGCCATGCTGGGCCTACTACCAAAAAGAATACAAACTATAATCTGACATAACAAAAAAACATACTACCAACAGGAATACACACTATAATTTAACTTGAGGAAAAAGGCATTCATTAAATAATAAAAGTACCAGCATATTTAACTAAACATCACATTTATTATTGCAAATGCCAATGCCAGATTATTAACAACACAGAACCTAATATTTTCTCTTTATCCAAAAGGTAGTTTTTGTTAAAATAGATGACAAGAAACCAAAAGAAAAATAAATTATTTGCTAAGCAACAAATGTAAAACTATATTTGTATCCTTTAGGCATTTTTAAAAGCATCAATATATGAGGAAGCTCAAATCTACCTTGCACACATTTAATTATAAAAGTTAATGAAAAGGGAAATAAAAGTAGCTGAAGCTTCTATCAGGTAACAGATAAAAATGTTAATAAATTATTTGTTGCCGAGTTTATAATATATGATTTTAGGAGCATTATGGTTTGCATGTAATTTTTCTAAACTTATAAACAAATAGAGAAACAGAAGTTTCATTATTTTTCATCATTTCACTACACTTCTCTCCAAACATTCAAAAGATGGAATTAGCACATAATACTGACATAATCTGTAAAGCACCGTTGCGCTTACCATAATGAAATAATAAAAACATTGACTGTAGTGTTTGTCTGGCAATTACATTCAATACATCAGTTTTTGGTAACAAAAAAAATAATAGTTATAAAAACGAACAACAATTATTATATTTTTAATCTTATAATTGTTTTTAAAATTTATTCAACTATAAACCTTTCTATAGAATCTCTGACTATGAACAAGAATATAATTTATTTATTTATGAATAAACAAGTTTGTTTTTTGTTTTTGAATTTTGCACAAAGCTACACGAGGGCTAACTGCACTAGCCATCCCTAATTTAGCAGTGAAAGACTAGAGGGAAGGCAACTAGTCATCACCGCCAACTCTTGGGCTACTCTTTTACCAACAAATAGCGGGATTGGCCATCACATTATACTGCCCCCATGGCTGAAAGGGCGAGCATGTTTGGTGGGACAGGGATTTGAACCTACGACCCTCAGATTGTGAGTTGAGCGCCTTATCCACCTGGCCATATGAATAAACAAATAAATATTTTAGTTTGACAAGTTATATTTATAGATTATTCATAAATTCACTTTCCTAATTTGGCACGGTCTAGCAATCTCTTATATATATTGTACAAAAGGAGTGACGAACAAACTATGAATGAGAAGACTATTAATACTAGGTGAATCCATTCTTAAATGTTATTATTACACAGTTGTTCTTTACAGTATTAAC